GAGATTTAATTAATAATGGATTTTTACAATGGACGGCTGTGGTTTTCTGAGGTTAATTGCTTTATGAACAGACGGATGCTATTAAATGTTCTAAAAATACTTGGATATTAAAAAAATTTACTGTTCACACAGAGATTTTCCTTTAGTTATAAAGGAAAGTAGATAAGAAATAGAGCGGTGGCAACATGCTATTTGGGTTCAAATCAATAGAAGAAATATTTAAATATCAACTTTATCGATCTCATAAGTATCATACCAAATCCTATCAATCGAATCATTTTTTTAAGAAGTACGGGAAATCTAAGTTGTACAAATAAAAAAATCTATTCGTTGATAAGGGAAAAAAAAATGTAAACGATGATTGACTTGATGATAAAATCGAATCCTAGGTTGCGAACAGTGATTCGATTGATGATGAAAAAAGAAAGTTTTTCGTTCAGCTCTCCACCTTAATAACAGAAAAAAGAATCAATCAAATTCTATTGAGTCTAACTCACAGTGATACAAATATAAAATTTACACGATAAATCTACAAAGAGCGTTGCTATAGGGACCCACAATATGGTACTATAGGAAGAGACATGTAAGGTGTCCCCCTCCTATTGCATAATGAGGTGACATGACCAGCTCATTATGTAATAGGGATGGGACACCTCACTTGTTCCCTCTCTTGGTCCCATATTTTGGGTCCTTAAGACCATCTCCAGCAAGAGGTGAAATTTCACCTCCTTCTCTTCTGCCACATCACTTTATTTAATTCAATAATCTTCATTTCCCTATCAACTCTACAGCAGGAGATTTTTCAGAAAGTTTTTTACTTTATTTGGGACCCACCATAAACCACTTCACTTCAACATATACCCCACCATATTTATTCATTCTTTTTCCTATTTCATATATATTACTATTTTATTATTATTATTATTATTAATATAACTTATATATTTATAATTATAATTTATTAATAATTCAATAAATAATAAATAATATTTAAATATATATTATTAATTTAATTTTCAATAATATTTTTAAATTAACATAAAATAACACACGATTTTATTAAGCATACGGAAAACCAAACACACCCAAATTATTGAAAACATTAAAGAAAACACAAACTAAATTGCTAAATCTAATCGGAGGTTGTCCCAAACTTCTACCAAATGTGCTCGATGAGATCCTTCTTCAGCTGAATATGTTGGGTCTTATCTCGTAGTTCCGCTCTAGTCTGATTATCTGCCTCAGATCGGTGTTGAACATGGACTTGAAACTCCGGCAACACGTCTGTTTGAACATTGAAAGAGGCGCTAGAGCTAGCATTGTTCGACGGTTCAAAGTCGATATTTTCCCAGTTTCGCGAATACGTATCTCGTTCATCCTCTACTATCATGTTATGTAAAATAATGCACGCCCTCATTATTTTTCCTAAGACATCAAGATCCCACATTCTAGCTGGTTGGCGGACAATAGCGAAGCGTGCTTGGAGTACCCCGAATGCGCGTTCCACGTCCTTCCTGCATGATTCCTGTTGTTTGGCAAAAAATTGATGTTTGTTGCCTTGGGGCATTTGAATGGACTGCACGAAGACATGCCACTTAGGGTAGATTCCGTCGGCAAGATAGTATGCAAGATTGTACTCCCGCCCATTCACGGTGAAGTTTACCCGTGAAGCTTCACCCGACTTAATGTCGTCAAAAACCGGCGACCTATCTAGTACATTTATGTCATTCAAACTACCAGGAAGCCCTAAAAAGCATGCCATATCCACAAATCATATGACGCAACTGCCTCGAGGATAACTGTTGCCGTCCCCTTGTGTCCACTAGTAAACTGCCCTTGCCAAGCCTTAGGACAATTTTTCCACTGCCAGTGCATGCAATCAATACTTCCAATCATCCCTGGGAATCCACGTTCCTGTCCAACTTGGAGCAACCTCTGCAAGTCTTCCACATTTGGTCGTCGTAAGTATTCATCTTGAAACAATGCTATTACCCCTTCGCAAAACTTGCGAGTACACTCGATAGCAGTGGATTCTCCTATCTTGACGTACTCATCACAAGCATCGGCTGCGACTCCATATGCGAGCATGCGTATGACAGTCGTACACTTCTGGATAGGCGTTAACCCAAGCTTGCCCGCATTATTGCGCCGTTGTGTGAAGTAATCGTCGTAATTTGATATAGAGTCCACAGTTCGTAGAAAGAGAGGCATTTTCATTCGATACCTACGTCGGAACTGGGCGTCAGTGTAAGTGCATGACTCGGCAAAGTAGTCGGCCATGAGTCTCTCATGCGCTGCATGATGATCTCTATGTATGGATTTCCTCTTACGTGGTTGTTCGCTTCTCCTTTGTAATTCTTCAAGAAGTTCTCGCTGCCTATCAAGTATTTTTTCTTCTATTTCCCATTGTTGTTGGAACTCTTCTAGACTAAACTCATTTAGGAAAGGATCCATTGGATGCTATGATTTTTGAAATGTTGATAGGTATACTTATGATGTGCATCTGATCAGTTTATATAATGAAGGGTAGTTGTTCAAATAATTGAATTCACATGCAATTGCAGAGACATGTGTCATAGGGCATGCATGTGCAGAGAGTTGTCAATTCATATTTTGTATTATTATGCAGGTGTAGTCATTTCATCCTTTGTATTTTTTGCAGTGAAAGGTCAATTCAACATTTGTTTGTTTTTGCAGTGAGTAGTAATTGTATCTTTTGTACTATTATGCAGTGAGAAGTCAATATCAATCGGCTTTATTGAACCATAAACAACAATTTTATTCAAACATAAACAACACTTTTATTAATACATTCAACAAACATAGGCACCCACACAACTCCAAAATTAAACAAACGGCACACAAAAACATCAGAAAGAAAACACACAATCATAACTTCTTGAGAAGGTCTTATTTTCCAAACATGTTCTTCCTCAACATATTATAAGCTTCTTCATCTTCATCGTCACGATCTGGTTTGTTTTTCAAGAATAACCACATCTCCATATTCTTGGAATGAGCCAGGTTATTCATAGCTGAAGCAGTACTTGATCTTTTCTCTTCAAATTTTTCATGAGCACTGACTAGCTTAGATAACTCCTCCTCAATTGCCCCCTTTGATTTCCTTGACACAGATGTTTTACTAGAGGAACCTCTAGCTTTCTTCTTTGCCACGTCTCTACCCTCTGGACGTACAAGGGTAGGAGTTGATGATTCAACATCCTCACCACTACTCTTTCTTTTAGAGCCACTACTACCGGATGCATTTCCTCCTGTCATATATTTGGGTTGATTACGAACCACCTTCCACTCATCCACCAAATTAAACGTCGTACCTATTTTCTCAAAGTACAACTCTCTTGCCTTGGATATGTAGTTTTCATCGGACCAACCGCTACGCTTCTCCCTACATGCAGTACTGTAGCAGCCAATGAAACTGGATATCTTTCTGTTGATGTCTTTGAAATGACTATGGCACCGAGACACAATCCTCTCCTTTCCACTTTTGGCGTTCTCATTCACGTACTGTGTAATTTTACCCCAGAAAGTTTCACCCTTTTGGTTGTTCCCCAACTCACTATCATTACTAACGTGAAAATAACCAGTTAGTAAAAGTATGTTGTCTTCGGTGGTCCAAGTTTCATAACTTGATCTCTTTGCTGATTGTTGGGTTGGAGGGAGAAAACTGTGAGGAGTATCCCCACCAACATTTCCCAAAGACATTTGGGTGGAAAATTTTGGGATATCTGTAGATCCGCTACTAAACAGGGGTATCGTTGGCTCACTCGACTCCGTGTTAGGATAATTCATATGGGAGGGAACATAGCTGCTTCCCGGAACTGGAGGATAACCGTAAGGAAGATAAGGATATTGCATGCCGAAATTTGGTTGCATCATATACGACATTTGAAAATTGGGCTGTATCCCCGTATTTTGAGTATTTTCGGGGCGTTGTATATTTGGATGTTGTGGTTGAGGGAGGGTATTTTGAGGTTGGTTAGGAAAGTTGTAGTTGTAGGAAAAATTAGGATAGTTTTGTGAAGGATCCATGAAGAAACTAGCTTCAAATTGTAGAAAGAAGAAGAATAGGGTGTAGAAACTCAGATTTTTTTTGGTGTCCAAATGACACAAAGTTAATCTCTATTTATAGAGTTTGAAAAATAAAAATTAATGGTATAAAAATTATAAATTAATTCATTGTATTATCTCAAAAAATATCAATTAAAAATAAGGAGGAAAACAAAAATTGCCGCCCAATCAGATTTCGCCACAATATCAATTAAAAATAAGGAGGAAAACAAAAATTGCCGCCCAATCAGATTTCGCCACGCGGCAGCTGGTAGGCATGCGCCTGCAGCCTCCATGCACGCGTCCACGTGCCCATTTCTGATTGGGCGGCTTCTATTTAAATTTTTTTTTTAAATAAACCTACCATGCATTTAATGAGGTGGGGCCCACCAGGTCAGAAATACCCGGGGTGAATTTTTCACCCCTTGGCCTTGTCTTTTTGATTCACCTTTTCAAAAAACTCCTGCTGCAACCAAATATCTCTTCAAATAACTCACCTTTTCAAAAAACTCCTGCTGCAACCAAATATCTCTTCAAATAACCCCTGCTGCATATGGTCTAAGACATTTTTCATCTACAAAGCAGAATATATTTTGGGGATATTGGAAAACACTCCAACTTTTCTATTTTTGAAATAAACAAGGAATACCTTGGCAATGCACGTGTATTCTAAGGTCGAAGGACAAGTTAGATCCTAGATTTCATGATGTGTGGGTCTCACCTTCCAATCTCATTCATTTCTCACACTCCAAATTGGTCAGGTGGAATCGAAACAGAAACCTCAAAAGGGGTGTTGGCAGTATTACCACCACGTCCTCATGCCACGTGCTACCGGCGGTGGGTCAAAAACTCTAAAATCTTAAACAGGAGAAGACACCCGTTTAACGTCCCAGCCTTCAATATCAGATTTCAAGGATATAAAAGCTTGTTCCTGCTCCTAATTAGTATGAAAGAACAACGACATGATGAATGTCCCTTCATCACACAAATGAAAGAAAGAAAAATCTGAGGCATATTTACATTTGGTGCTGCTGAATATTTATCCCCATCTGGTTCTCTAGCAGCGAAGCCTTCAGAGCAAGGAATAACCTGATTTCAGGAATTCAAGTAAAGTATCCGTACAGCTTAAGGCACGAAAACTACATAACATTTATCTTCTTAACAAAGATACGTTGTTTTTAAGTTTTACCAATTTTTCACAGCAAAATGCATGGTATAGATCAAATAAAGATTATAAATAGCGTTACCCAAGCAAGGAGCCTCACTCTCACAATACTTCAAGAAAAAAACACTGATGATATTTGTAAAATTCTCTGATATACAATCACATTCCAAAACCTTAACTCAATTACAGAATTTCCTTTGTCTCAAAGAAAAGAAAAGAAAAATATTACAGAATCACCACGACTCAAAAGGCATTATATTTCCTATCTCAAAAATTATTGTAATATCCTCCAAAATGAATTACCCCGGAACCATATGATCCAACAAACCAAACACTATTTCATTGTATACAAACCATTTCTTTTTTTTTTCCCCAACACTTACAAAAGAGAGATTGTGATAACAATGGGGGAAATAAGATATAATAAATCTAAATCTAAAATTTTAGCACTGTAAACAAAAACATGAACGAAGCAAAGAAAAATCGCATTGCTTCAGTGCATAATACAATCTTTGAGGTATGGATGTGCAAAATTCACGTACCGTTCCCATAAATGCCTATACCTGCTGATTGCCAACTTCAGCCATGGCTTCATATTCCCATTGAAGTGCACCACTGCAGCACTCTCTATTAATCTATCATCAATCTCCAAGTCATAGCCTAAACCAAGCACATGCCATCTTCTATCCAATGGCTCGACTAAACCATAGAATGTTAGAAGCCCAGCGGGAAGCGTGCCAGTTTTCCAAAGCATTCTGTCAGCATTCTGCTCTTGCCAGTTGTGATATCGAGATGTTACATTAGCTCTCTTCCATGCTATCAGATCGAAAATATTCATCCCGAATGCCCATCCACAAGCTTGAGGATCAAACTTGGCGCTAATCCTTGTATCTGAGAAATTAAGATACCTGTAGAACCGATGAAATCCTTCAAGGCAAGTCTCTACAGCTCCATTCACATTACCATGCAAATCTAGCGAAAACAGAACAGTTAAATCCTTTTGGACAACAACATCATCATCGAGAAGCACTACTTTTTCAAGAGAAGGATGTATTTCTGGGAGGTAGAATCTCAAGTGGTTCAGCAAGGACACAAATTTGGGGTTCCTAAACTTTGCTTCATCGTTTTGATCTTTACCTCCAAAGTAGTAAGCCTTTGTCTCTTTATCTAATAGTTGTTTTATCAGTGGAGAGTAAGAGGCATTGAGCCACGAAAACTCCTCTATGTTTCTGACATTTACAGTACACCCCTTACAATCGTTTGTCAGAAACCAAGTCAACATGGGCTTATAATTGACCCGATCAGTGACAATATGAAACACAAGCTGCTGAGGATGTTCAGCATTGGAGATTGTGGAGTTCACAACAGCTGAAGTTGCAAGCACGTTATCCGAGAATATGCAGAAATGATAAAGGTTGTTGTCTACAAGCCGAGGTGAATTTCTTTGTTCTTCTGAGAGTGTTTTGAGTGAAGGGTTTCTAAACCACTCTTCTGTGAGTTTAATGTTTAAGCAGTGAAGGGCTTTAGGCATGGATTCAGCAGCCAGCTGAGCAAACTCTGCACCTTGTGCTGTAGCTGCATGTGCTCGCTCTTCGAGCGCTTGAGCATGCTTTTTTAGGGTTACTATTGTTGTGCTGATGTCATAATGGGAATCTTGGGCTTTGTACATTAGGTGAGATAGTCTGCTGACAATTGGATGTGCTTCTTCAATGGTGATTGGCTTTGCTCTGACTGCAGCTTGAGAAAGCAACCTTTGGCAGTTCCTGATTTGTGAACTTAGCTCCCAAGCAAGCTGGAGATTGCTGTGTTCTTTTGCTATGATCACATAAGCTTTAGCTAGAGTTATTTGATCGTTCAATTGTCTGGCAAAGGAGGTTGTGCTCAATAGCTCTTCAGTGAAATTTAAGCTTGCATGTGAGTCATCAGCGGATTGTGATGTCATTTCCTGAATTTCCTGAAATAATTAGAAATGATAGGCATCTAAGATTTGATAGAAGTGAAAAAAGAAAAAGAACATGATGAAAACATGAAGAACATGTTTATACTGCTATAAAATTGGAAGAAATGTACAAGGTCCTAAAATAGCTCAACACCGCCTTAAAAGGGGTTCGTTTGAAACCAGTTATTAAGTTATAATTGTATACAGTACCACAGTCATAGTTTCCTAATAATCGATACAAGGCTATAAGCTTATTTACATGATGGTAAATCAATATTTCCCTATGCGATTCTCAACCTCTGTCAAGAAACTATAAATTAGTGCAGGGTCTTGTAAGATCTGATCTCCTCAGCTAGAAGGATAGGTAACTGGGTCAGGATTATTATCATTTATAATAATGTGGAGAAAAAACATTGCCTTTTTCCTTCTCTTCTAATGTTTTTAAAGTGTATCAATCCCATTAGATTTGTGTGGATTGTCATGTTTTTACCAAGCATGAAAGATCATCATCCTGAAGTAAAGGTTGGTAAGATTCATGGTAGGATGGTGCTTTTATGGTTTTAGCTTCTCTGCAAGTTGTTGTCTCCATTCCTCAATTTCTAGCAAGAGAATCGAATGTGATTGGTTCTGAGATTTATCAGCGAAGCTTGGCGGACTGAGTGGAAAATTGGTTGGGACCAAGTTGGGTAATTCGAAGTTTCACTCAGTTTACAAAGCATACAATGCAAATTAGGTAGTTGCGTGCCCAGAAGATCTCAATTCTCCTTCCATGTGATTATCAGATACAAAGTTGGGTCCCAACCAATGAATGTCAGGACTTAAACTCACATTTCCCATAGCAAAGAAGGAATACACACCACGGGATAAAGATAAAATGATAGATCACAGGTTCACAAGTAATAGAACATTAAACAGGCTGTAAAATGGTTGCAAGCTAGGTTTTTATGTTGTTGAGCTCCCGAGGAAGGAGGGGGAGGCTTCTTTCTCATCAAACATTTTAACGTCTGAGTTCATACCACAATACAAAAAAATAGAAAGTGTACAGAGCTATTAATTGATGTGAAGGAAACATGCAATAAGAGAGATGGTTATCAGCTAGTTAGGGTCCATTTAGTCTCACATTGGCTAAATGGAGAGGTAATGTGAGTCTATAACCGATTTGGTTACCTCACTCGAACAAATGGTATTAGAGATTGTCTCATCTTCCCAGTTGTAAGTGAGCCGCACCAGTGGTGAAGCCGGTAGTGCCAGGGACTAGTCTAGTGCAAAACCATAGGCATTTGTTATCGAGGCCCGGGTGCGCCCCGGGCACAGGGCGCTACAGGCT